GGCTCCCCCGGCATCCCCCCCCTCCTCCTCCTCCCCCTCCTGGCACGGCGGGGCCGCCGGCGCCTGCTCGGGCTCCAGGTCCTCCTGCCCGGGGGGCACAGGCCTCGTTTTCACAGTAGCAGCTTTAGTTGGGGAGGAGGTCGGGCAGGGATCCTTCATGCTCTTGTCCTGGGGTTGAATGTGCCTTGAAAGGGAGAGAAGACAGGACCTTCTTAAAACCCAGGGAGGAAAGCTGCAGGGGGAGAACAAACCAAAAACCCCACCAACCAGGACAGGCAATGGCAGTTTAGGAAAAGGAGCTGGGATGGGCTGCCCAGGGAGGTGGTTGATGCCCCAGCCCTGGAGGTTTTTAAGGCCAGAATGGACGAGGTTTTGTGCAGCCTGGGCTGGTGGGAGGGTTCCCTGCTCATGGCAGGGGGGTTGGAACTGGATGATCTTTAAGGTCCCTTCCAACCTTAATGATTCTAGGGTTCTAAGCTGTTTACCTGGTGTGGGATATCCAAGTAGGGCCTGCAAAGACAAACAAAGCAACAAAACCATTTGTAGCTTAACAAACAAACCCTGACTGGGTGCAAACAAACAAGTCCTCTCTGGAAGGGATCAGTTACTCCAGAGCATCCCAACATGCTGCAGGACGAGCTGATCCTCATCCATCCTCCCACCCCCCAGCACATCCCCACAAAGGACGTTGGTTCCGTGGGGCAGAGCTCCAGTTCAGAGCCAAACACGTTCATCTGGAGTCACAGGAGTTTGGTGATGGAAGCTCAGCTCCGGCCGGATCCCTGTGCTGCAGGTTGTGGTAATTCCCACTTCCAGGCTCCATTCAAGCCCCGGCAGCTGCCCGAGGCCCCCGGGTGTCAGGGAGGTACAATGATGTCTCAGAGGAACAGAGGCAGCCGCTGGAGCCCCGGGCATTGTCTCCACCCGGGCAGATCTCCTGAGCACAGGGAGGTGCCAGCTGAGCTCCAGCCTCCCTCGCAGCTTAACTCCCCCATCTCCATAACAATGGAGACTCATTCAGGCACTCTCAGACCATCCCTAACACCCCATTTTATTACAGCTCGGGACCAAGGGCTCAGCCTGAGGCTGAACAAAGCTGCATTTGACCCGCAGTCCACGATCTGATGTGTTCTGCCCTGCATTCATTATGTTTTCTTGCAACTTTCCTGCTCCTTTTCAGACTCTCACCTCGGCCAATAACGTTACTGAACTCGTGTGAGGGATTGAAGACCAGATGTTTGGCCATGGCATCACCCTCAGACGTTATGAAGAGACAGGAGGAACAGCACAGCTTGACACCACTGGATGGCAAAAACGGGGAAAAAAAGAGAAGATACATGAGCTTCTTACCAGCATCAGAGATGAAAAGATCTGCCCATCCCCTCCCTAACAATCAGAACACAAAGGCCACCCTCCCGGGCACATGGGACTCTCAGGCAACACACTGCCCTTAATTCAACAGATCTTTCTGGGTGCTGGATAATAAGCAGAGCTTCTTCAGAAGCAGATCAGGAAAGAAAATAAACGGAAAAAACCCAAAGTGAATGCAGATTAGATTCCCAGGTGAGTAAAATGACAAAGTTCCCATTACCAGGCAGTGTAGTTCTTAAACAAAGCCAAGTATTTTGGACTCTTCCGAGGAACGTGGTTGCTGTAAGACAAAAGAGTTTATTCCATGTCAGAAGGATTCTGGATGTTTATAGAGAGCTATAAAACCATGCAAGACACAGGACATTTACAAAGACAGACCCAATCCTGGGTGAGATAACATCGTGTCTGCCCGAATTGTGTTCGGGGAAATGAAAACTCTGTGTCCAAATACAAACAACTGCCCAGAAACATGTAAAGCTGCCCAGATTTTGGAGTGACTGTTCTTGCCATCCCCTCCTGTGGTCTCTCCATGCTCCTGCTCAGACCTCAGCCTTGCAGAAACTTGGCATGATTATATCTATTTTTTTCCCTTTAAAAAAAAATTTTTTACATTATTGAATCTGACAATTTGGGGCTGGACTAGATGACCTTTACAGGTGCCTTCCAACCCCACACACACTATGGTTCTATGAACTTTGCAATAAATCCTAGGAGCACTGAAACAGAACTGTTTTCTCCAGCAGCTTGGAATGAATCTTCCAGCTCCTGTGCTCAGTTTTTGCTCAGTTTTCTAATCTTACTAGAAACCCACTGCCCATCTCTGCTGACACAGAAGACACCCAGTGTCTGCCCAAGCCCTGCAGCACAGACAGACACAGAGGTGCTCCTGCAGCCAGGCAGC